GTTTCATATTTAAATTTAATATGTTTCATATTTAAATTTAATATGTTTCATATTCAAAGTTAATATGTTTCATATTTAATGTTAATATGCTTCACATTTAATTTAATATGTTTAATATTTAAATTTAATATGTTTCATATTTAAATTTATATGTTTCATATTTAATTTAATATGTTTCATATTCAAGTTAATATGTTTCATATTCAAAGTTAATATGTTTCATATTTAAATTTAATATGTTTCATATTTAAATTTAATATGTTTCATATTTAAATCTAATATGTTTCATATTTATATTCATTTTTAACTAATTGGTTATTATTTTGCGTACGCAAATTACATTTCAAGTCCTCATGGTGTGAATTGGTTAAAGTTTTTAACTAGAAATAATCGCAACATGAGTAGGACTGCATTGGTTGTGATTATGCCCCTGCGCTAAGATAATTTTACTGTGCATTCAAGGCAGCAGCAGCTGGAACCAGTTGGGAATTCGAGAGACATACAAAAATAATACAAACATAGTTAAAATAAAAACAAAAAATATTTTATTTCATTTAATATGGAATATTTAAAATAAAAAGTTTTTCCTTTGGATTTTAAAATAAAAATTTTGAAATCAAGTCATAATAATATTCAATTCAAATATGAAACATATTAAACAACAAATTTAATATATTATAGTTATTTTGAAGTGTTTTGTATTTAGATTAAATATGACCGTATTAAAAAAGCATTTTTAATACATTTATATTTGAATCAAAGTGAATTCTATTAAATTTTACTATGTTTGTATTTAAAAATGGCATTTTAAATTCAAATATGATTGTAGTTATTTTTACTATGCCTTTTTTCTATCAGTGTACCTTAAAGTTTAATGGCCCATTTAATGCAGTAATACCCACTGCTCATGTATGTCAATCTTAACTGCAGGATATGGGAACTTTTTGTAGTAAAAAATAAAGTAAATTTCGGATAAACTTTATCTTTTATGGTGACCCCGATGGCAGCACCAACTATTTCCGATATATTCCTTCTGCAGACCATTCTGGAAATCTAAGATCTCAGATGTCTTCCTTGGGAGTCTCTGCTATCCCTTAGCTGCAGCAATTCCCCAAACACCACTTAAACATGAATAGATTAGAGATTCCATGCAACATGAATCTGTCTTTAAGAACCGCCGTTCAGCTTTCAATTGCTTTCTCATTGATTCATCTTTACGCATGTCCCCCCCCAACCCCACATTACTAACCCACAAAGCTTCTCAGCCTCTTCTTCCCACCTCTTCTGCCCATCAAAGATTAACCAACTCCAAACAACAACAACAACAGCAACAACAACCAATCCAATCGAAATCTGATATATTTGTCTAACATCTTCGGCATTAAGCTCACCCCCGGCCAAAAAGCGCGAGATTTCCGCATTAGAAACGATTTTTTAATTATTATTTCTGACGCCTACACACAAAACCGAAACCCAAACTCAAAACTCAAACTCAGACCCCAACATCGATGGCGGTGCGGTGATGATGATGGTGATGGCTTCGAAGTGGATGCTCTGCTCAAATGTCAGGCTTATTAATACAACAGACACAACACACACACAGCTCGCAGCTCACAGCTCAGAGCTCACAGCCAAGAGGCTCAGTGTACATCAGATTTGAGAGCTCAAGTGCTGGATGGGATTGTGCTGGTGGCTGGTGGTTTGTGGCTGAGGTTGAGGTTGAGGCTGGAGCTGGAGCTAGAGCTACAGCTGGAGCTATGTGCATCTTTATGTGGGAGCGTAGGCTTCATTGATGACACGTCATTTGCTGGCATAGACATCTTCGTCAAATGTGTGAAGTGGAGATTGGAGGAAACCCAAAACAGGTCTTCCAGTTCAACGGCAAAAAAAAAACAAAACAAAAAGTGTCAATAAAATGTCATGGAAAGCCACTTAGCTCTCCGCGAGTGTGGAATCGCAGCCTCACCCAAGCCGGGCACTTCGATGCTTTGCTTTGCTTTGCTTTGCCCACATCCGTTGCCTCTGGCCAGGGCAGAGATTGGTGGCTGAGGCTGGGGCTGGGGCTGGGAAGGTGTAACCCAGCCATCAAACATTTGTCAATTTTTGAGAGCCCCAGATTGGTATTCGCGGCACCGCGGCACCACAGACGGCGGGTTCTGGGTCTCAGGCAAGGCTCAATTATAGCTTTGATTTAAATCAGTCTACTGACCCCAAAAGTTCAGCTGCGGAAATTGCAAATTTAATAATTGACTATGCAGCTCTTAGAGCACCAAAAACCAAACTGAAACTGAAACTGTAAAAACCAAAGCGCAAAACCAGGGGGCTTATTAATGCGATAACCTTGGCTGATTTAATTTCTTGTTGCGAGCTGTGATTATCCATCCATCCATCCAGCAGCAGCAGCCGCAGCAGCAGCACCACCAATAACAATAAAAGGAAAATCAAACGAAAACTTGTACAATTTCGACACTAAACTCCAAGCTCTTCCGATCCGGCAGCTCCTACAGAGACTTCCCTTACCTCCCCCCAGTTAGTAGTGTATTTAATTAAGAGATTGAGTGGCTTTAACAGTGTTGAACAATGGCTGGAGCATTGCAGCTAGCACGAGTCGCATCTACACAGCGAGAAATAACTTAGTTGGCACGCGGAGAGGGTCCTTCGTTTGGCATTGAGAACTTTTGTGTGAATCAGCGCTGGAAGAAGTGCCTCTTAAGTGGCGAAATTTCCTCTTACTGGCTAGATGTATGCATATCTGTGCTCCAGGATGGTCTAAGCCCAGCGAACGATCTTCTTTAAGTGGACTTTTGGGACTCTTCACCCTGTGGCATCAATGCATCATCCTTGGATTTCAATTTCTTGCCAATTAAATGCTATAATATAACAGAGTGCTCCAGAAGTTGTGCACATCCCACCAAAGACCCAACTCAGTGCATTGTGAGCTACGTGCTGGGTAGGCATGAGACCCTCCCTCCAGGCTAGCGTGACCTTGATGGTGGGCAGGAGGCGCTGGGTGTGCACACTGGCGAGCGTGCAGAGTGGAAGGTGCACAACTGTGTGATGGATACCGTGTGGAATGGAAAGCTCTAATGTTGCTCCCTGAAGTAGTTTCGGGGCAGTTGATTAAAAAAAAAAACTGCAAATTGCAATCGCCCCCAAAAATATTGTTTCGAGTGCATTTTCATCTCATAAACCATAACAATCAGTGTCGTAGTTGGAGTCTATGGCCATTGAACAATGGATGACTGGCCGGAGCGGGGCGGTGTGGAGACGCAGCATCGAACGGAGCTGAGGCTGAGCTGCTGACTTGGGCTGACTTTTCAAAGTCAAAAACGCGATTGTATCATCAGTTTTTTGGGGCGCGTTCGGCGGCTAGGCGGCTCGGCGGTTGCTGGTTGCTGGTTTGCTGTTTGCTGTGATTTTGTGCAGAAGTTGGCAGATAAGCCAGAAGACAGTCAGTCACGGGGAACAATGAGCCCATGGAGTCGGCAAAAACAATCGAATCAATTCATTTTTCTAGGGCGTACTGTGCCACTTGAACGTTGAACTGCAGACGCCCCAATGCTGACTACCGCTGACTGTTGGCTGTTTGGCTGTTGGCTGGGGTTGGACTGCGGGTCGGTTACGGGTCCGGGGTCTTCCATCTTGTGCATCTCTCTCAGCGGAGTAGTTGCCATTGTTTTTGTTGTTGTTGTTGTTGTTAGTTTATTGGCGGGTGGCAAGACGGAGGCAACCACTAGCACTAGCACTAGCACTGGCAGTGGCTTGGTCTTGATCGTGCCCCGGCACTAGTCATTTTAATTTTTCAAGATTTTTCCAAGAGGTTTGTTCGCTTTGTCTTGATGGCTTTGCAATGGCGCTACCTGGCCAGCGTTTCGCAATCTGAACTCTATAAATTTTGGCTCGGTTTGTTGTGTGTGAGATTTATGGGTTATGGCCCGAATGGGAGCGGGCCAAGCCAAATGTTCTGGCCAATCCAATCCAATCGTATCCACGCGAGATCCAGGCAATTCAATTAGATCTAAATGCTGTCAACATCCAGGCACTAATAACCAGGCCCAGACCCAGACCCCAGCAACGGAACGGGGGATAGGCCAGAGAGTGTGCTCTCAGCCAAGTGTCGTCTGTCTGGCCCGTGTCTGTGGCATAATGTTGCATAATATTTTATGCATGCAGAGCTAGCATATTGCAACATGTTGCCATGTTGCTCCAACTCGGGCCAGGCTCAGGCTCAGACTCCGACTCGGGCTTTGGGGGGGCTGCTGCTGCTGCTGCTGCTGCCTCTGATGATGATGATGATGCATAGCCCCAAGAATCGCAGCGACAGCAAACGCTTTGGCGCCCCTCCCAGAAAATCCTGAAACCTTTCAGACTCCCAGCTGTGCTCAAAGTGTGTCGAATATTCAAGTGAAAATTCATTCCAACTCCGACTCACATCTGCAGCAGGAGGAATATGAAGAGGAGGAAGATGAGGAGTAGGAGGAGCAGTAGGAGGCGGAGGAGTCTGAATGTGAGTGTGAGTGTGTGTGTGGGGCTCCTCAGAGTGCGGCGCTTCGCTGACGTTGGTGTCTCTCTGCCCATACATGCTGCGCGCCGTATCAATGTATCTCGCTGTACGCAAGTATCTGTATCTGCGCATAGGTGGGTTGCTCTCTGGGGCTCTGGCTCTGACTCTGGCTCTGGCTCTGGCTCTGCCTCTGGTATGTATTTGATTAGACGGCGACGGACGGCAGAGGAGGCAGGCGACTGAGAGGCAAACTTGATCGCGTACGATTTGTTGCCGTGTTGCTGTTGTTGTTGCTGTTGTTGTTGTTGTTGTTCTCTGGCTCTTTAAGTCGAACAATTACATTTTAAGCGTAGCACAACCTTGGATGCCGTTATATTTTTGCAGTTGGTTGGGCGTGTGCACCGCCGCACACCGCAACCCAACAGACATTTGCGCTGCCACAAATACTTGACTTTAACTGGGGAATTTTGTACATTTAAATAGGATAGATTTTTCCTTTATGTTTCTTTATATTTCTGCAATAATTGTTTGTATTATTTTGCCCACTGTATCGACTGCAGCCACCCCCCTCCAATTAAGCGTGTAGCTTGGTACTAGTTCTAGTTCCAAGGCTTGGTTGCGTAGTGTAGTTGAGTAAGTGTATATTTCCGTGCTGACTAAAGCTGTTGCAGCACCTCGGCCAGTGTGTGTGTTGCCTCGTTGGGTGTCGGCACTGTGCATCGCTCCTGGAAAGTGATATATTTTTGGGGCCAAACTGGCTGCAAGGCGGACATCGACAGGACAAGCCAGGGTGTACGTGTGGGGGGCACACAGCATGTCTCTATCCATTTCTTGACGCGCATAATGTCCTTGCCCGGTCCTTCGAAGACGCCGCAAGCCTGATGCGGCGTGGAGCTGTTTTTTATATAAAAACCATTAATGCCCCGTCTTTGGCATTGCGCCTTCAAGCGCTCCGTAAAGTACGGGGTAATAATGTTGGACAGCGTGAACTCCGACTGGAAGAACTCCAAGCCATTTGTGCCATCAATGGGACTATCGAAACAGGTATCCATGCGTTGCGATCTGTACAAAATAATACCAGAGTTAATTAAATAAAAAAAAATAAAATAAATTAAATAAATAAATAAAAAAAAAAAGGTATACAAAAATATTCTTACTTGGCGTTGGATGCAACATCCGTGTCCTGGCTTGGGGGCATATCACTGGCAGGCAAATTTGTGGATGCAACATCTGTGTCCCTGTTTGGAGGATTATCGTTGGTGCCGAGTTTTGGTTCTATATTTTCCATTGTAAAGATTTCTTAGTTTAGTTTTGGATTGTGTGAAAATTACTTTTCGAATTTTAATCTAAAAAATATACGCTTCCTTCCCTGGGGAAACTATTTTATTGTTTGAACTGTTTCCAGGTGTGGGATCAGATTGAGAGCAGATATATTTCAAAGGTTGCTTTGCGCATATAAATACAAATACAAAAATATGTTGAATATTTTTCAAGGAGTGAATGGAACGTTTTCATGTTCCTTAAATCATCTTGAATTAAAATCCATTTCTGCTTTATTTATTGCCCCTCCAGCTGAAACAAAATAAAACTGAAAACTGAAAATCTAAAAATTCAGCAAAAATGTTTACTTGGTTATGGGCCGCATACACCGCTGGGCGAAACACGACTCAGCAATCTGCAAACGTCGCTTGGCGGCTATGACTTCGACAGTCGACAGTCGCCCCGATCTGCGCGGCCAGTCGGAGTCAGAGTCGGGGCCCAGGCCCAGACCCAGACCATGCCACCACCAGACTCTCGACTCGACGCGATCGGAGCCAGACCCCAGACCCCAGACCCGTACCCGTACCCATTCCCGTTCCGTCCCCGTCCATATCAGAGCAGAGCAGAGGAGAGCAGACTAGACCAGACCAGACCAAAAGCGAGTCGACCACACCCGCACACTTCATTATTTTTATGTCGCCTGTGGTGGTACGATTTAAACGACAAACGCGGCAGCCAGCAAGCAGACATTGGGGAATGGATCGAAACGAAACGGAACGGAGTTGAGCTGGAGCTGAAGCTGACGCTGGAGCTGGAGCCAAGACACGACATTCAAAGGCGGAGAGAACTTCCCAACAAACAAAATAGAAACAAAATATAAAAAAAAAAACACAAAAAACAGCCAAAAGCAAGCCAAGAAATTAGACGCATTCGACGTTTTGGAACGAGCGACAAGTCAAAGTAGCAAAAGACCAGGCACAAGCCCAGACCGAGACCCAGACCCAGCCCCAGCCTCAGCTTCAGTCCCAGCCTTAGCTGTAGCTCCGATCCAACTCCAACTCCGGCAGAGCTCCGTGGCAGAGTCTGAAGCAGAGGCACGTTGCTCCTTGGAGCCAGGGCACATCTCATGTTGATGTTACAATTGCTGCCTTTTTTTTTTTTCTTCCTGCGCTTTGTCTTTTTGCGATCGTGCGCCAGTTCAAATGTGCCTAGTGGGTTTGGAAATTTGTAGCGCCCAAAAGCCAAAAAACCAACAAAAAAAAACGCGCACAAAAAAAACCAGAGAATACCGATACAGCAACAAAAATTACCCACAATTACAACAAAACTTCGTTAGTGGCCAGAAAGAGATTCAAATGCACGTAGAGAAAAGATAAATACATTTTTAGTTGAAAGATAAACGTACTGGAAGATAGATTGCGCAGGAAAAAACCACACACGAGATGGAACTCTTAAATCTACAAGAGATTTATTCATAAAATCCAAAATAAGGCGAGAAATTCTTGAATGCATCTCCAAAGATTGAAAAATATTAGAATACTAGGTTAAATTTTTAAGGAAATTCCACTCAAAGTGCCTCTACTTTTCTTCAAGTGTTTCCCCCACCCCCAAGCTGATGGCAGCTTCAGTTTCATCCACAGCCAAACGTTCCTCTACATTTTCGACTCTTCGGGGCGTACAGACTTCAATGTAATTTATCTTGATGTTTAAATCAATAATAACGCCGTCAGTGTGCGTTTGCTTTTAGCGACTTTTGATCGCTTTACCATCGCAACCATCGCAAACGATCCATCCATCCATCCAGTCAGTCAGTCAGTCAGTCATTTATTGAGTCAGGGAGTCATTCAGTCACTCAGTCAGCGAGTCATTCATTCATGCAGCCAGTCGGTTAGGTCTTGCATAGATATTTTAATAGTTGTTGGCTGTGGTTGCTATTATTGTTATTAGTATTATTGGAAATTTCAATATGCGGCCGCCGTTTGCGCAGATTATTAAGGCACGAACAGGAAAATTACGACTGCGATGACGCCGAGTGTTTCCATAATTATTGCCATGGGCTCTGCTCTGATCTGGTTTCGTTCTGACTGGGTTTCCTTTGCCCCCCCCATCCATCCATCCATCCATCCAACTGTCTGCTCGTCTGAGTGGTGGCATGCCGCCGTAGTAGGCCGCATTTGGAGACACGATTCTGGTCTGGTGTCTACGCCTATTCGTCTGCTGCTGCCGCTGCCGCTGCTGCTGCTGATCTTTTACCCGTTTTATTTCTAGCTTTATTCTTTTTTTGTGCCTTGTGGCCCATTGTTCATTGCTGAAGAGCGCTGAAGAGCTGCCTTACTGCGCCGCATTGCCGCGAGGTTTTGCTGCATTTAGTTGTGGGCAGAATTGTTTCGTAATTGTAAAATATGTTGTTATGCTTTAACTTGTTGCTGCTGCGATGCGACAAATGTGTGTACAGTTAGGCTTAGGGGGCACATAGGACCCGGCAACATGCACTGCGAATTTCTGGCTTAATTTCAGCGGGCGAACACTCACTGGCTGCCTCCACAATTGGGTTGCAGTTAGGTGCAGTTTGTTGGTAGCGATCATTGATCATTGCCTAATGGGAACTGATCGAATTTAGTTCGCAAATTGGTCTGTCGATAGAACCAGTTGGGCTCTTAGATTCATTTTGCATTTCAGCAATTATGGTTAATTATTTTGGGATTATTCAAGAACCGCTGACTGACTTCCATTCATTGATACCAAGTGGGAAATTAAGTTCCTCTTGGTCTCTTGGTTATATACCCAGAGAAAAGCTATAAGCTGGGAATTACTAGCTGTTTGGGACTGCACTGGCCGAGGGTGCATAGAGTGCACACTCTTTTGGCAAACTCTTTTGGCAAATAATTATAGTTTCTATCACTTTTACTCTTCATTAGAAATTTCTGTGTGGGAGCTGCGCTTATTATTCATCCCTCAGCTGTTCTCCATTTCCATTTCTTAGCTCTCCACATCGCTGTGCATTATAATCTACCCCAGCGCTACCACTGTGCGTATGAGTGCTGTCCGAGTGGATTCGTTGCGCATACGCCTCGCATGCCACACGACAGCCATCTCGGCTCGTATTACTGAGCTATAAAAACACATAAAAAATACTATGCAATGCCGCGCACAGCGCCGCAGTTGGTTGTACACTCACACAGAGAGATACAGACACAGATACACAGAGAGGAACACTCACATCGACACTGGCACGTTTTAGTGCCCATTAACGAGCAATTGCAATTTAAACTGGATCGCTCAGTTAGCAATTTGGAGCGTTGCTTTTATGCAACACAGGCAACATCGCAGTTTGCAGCCAGCCTATGCCCATGCCCCCGCCCCCGCCCCAGTCACAGCCACAGCATTCCCTGTCCCTGTGCAACCAACCCCCCCAAGCTGCCATCGTGGTATTTTGGACAAATGTAGATTTTTTTGTGCCTCCAAAACGACGTCGCAGACGACGACGGCGACGGCGACTTGGGGTTGAGTGGCCTGTGGGCCAGCTAGCATCACATCGCATCGCATCGTATCGAACGGGCATTTTTTCGTCTTTAGTTTTTGTTTTAGTTTTAGTTGGTGTGTTTTGTTTTGATGCTGATGCTGAAGCTGAAGCTGGACCTCTGCCTCTGCTGCCGCCCCAAAAACAACGCCAGGTACGTGCGGGGTAAGGCGTGCTGTGGCCGCAACTGCAACTGCGGCGGTGGCGATGGCGCTGGTGGTGCCTCACAATGCCTCACAATTTCATCAGCATCAGCCAGAGAGCAGCTGCCTCCTGCCTGCCTGCCTGCCTGGCTGCCTGCCTTGCGGACTGTGCTGGCAGACTGCTGTTGCCTTGCCATCGCGCAGACACACTCTTGATTTTGCGCAGCCGCCGCCGCGTTTTTTTTTGGTTTTTTTTACCCTCTAGATTATACGTTACGTTTCTTGCGTTTGCTTGGACTATACTCAGATATAGATATGTCTATGAGTGCACTGGGGGAAAAGTGGAAAGCGGAATGTGGCTGAGGAGCTGAGCAATGGAATTTCCATGCAGATCCCTCGGGGTTCGCTTGGGTTTCCCCTGTAATATCTATTTATTTTCTTAGTAAATTTTGTTATTCTCTTCCTTTAATTGTTGGCACCAGAGAGGTTTATTTGTGTCCCATAATTGCCATTAATATTCCTAAAATATATTCGGAAATCGCTTTGGAATCCTCTGTTTCAGTTCGACATCCTTTTTTCGCTCCGTGTATGTGTGTGTTTAGTATTTCTGTTTGCGGCTAATAGCGAAATGTTGGCTATATGGCCCTGCTTCGTTAGATATAGATAGCATTCGATATTCGCTCGGTGCCGGCTGCAGTTTGCCTGTTGCCTACTGCCTGTTGCCCGATCTGCCCCAGCCGGGTTCCGCCACAGCCTCAGCCTCAGCCTCAGCTACAGACACAGCCTGGTCTGATGTGGCATGCCTTCCTTGAGAGATAATCAGGCGGCAGCAGCAGTTGCAGTTGCAGCCTCTGTTACAGCTTCAAGCTGTTGCTGCGGCTGCTGCGCCTAATGCAAAAATTCGATCAGCTGCATTTTGCAGATCTCGACCCATATTTTTGCTATATATAAAGTTAGCTCTTGTTGCTGCCTTAAACTGGTTTCGATTTGCATACACGTTGGACGCAGGAGTAGTGCGCGATGAGTGTGCTTAGTCATATTGGGCGGCCATTAGAATGCACCAAAAATAAAAAAAACCCAACACACACACAAAAAATGAGAAAAAACTTCAGCTAAAGTCTGGGCAACAGTTGCAACAAAATAGCTGTAAAAGAATATCCATTGGACCCACCTAAACTAGTTTTATATATCGTTGATTTAGAGCAGCAGAGCTCGCCACATTCGTTTCGTAGCCTGCTGCTGTTGTTGCTGCTGTTGCTGTTGCTGCTGCCTCATGTTGCAGTGTTTGTTGTTGCATGTTGCAATCGATTGC